GTTAAGCGTGGGGGATGTGTGAACTACTGAGAAGTTACACCAACAAGACAAAATTGTGAGGCTCTTAGGCCAAAGCGGATTATATCTTGACAGATAAGAGATTGGGTTGTTACAATGATGACCAAGATGATAGAATCATGGGATCTTGATCGAGCTCACCACCACTCCTCCCACCATCTGCTTTAAGTACAAAATTATGCTGCTACTATACGCCGAATACCACATATCTCTATGTATATTTTTTGACGACTAGCCTTAATCAAAAGTTCTCTCCAGTTACCGGGATAGATAATTAACTATAGGGGCTTACGCCTATGGGAAATTTGAACTCAGATCATAAAGTTATCAAAAAATATGGTGAAATCCTTATGTAATACCAATTCAAAACCCAATCATCCCTTCTAAAAATTTTCCTCATAACTTAAGCAATAAAACTCTCCTCAACAACCTGAAAACGAAGAAAGAAAGGGGGTCTGCGGAGAGGTTAGTGTGTAAATATTTGGAGCCCACATTCGCCTCCATCACCCCAACATCATTGGCCTCCTAGGATACTACAATGAACAATTTTCAATTGAAGGCACAACATACTCTTTAACCTCTTTCTACTTGAAGGCTTCCTCATTTATCCTTAGTTGAAACTTGAAGGATAATGGGATTAAATCTCCTACTAAGCAAATTTGGAAGTCCAAAAAAGAAAAAAATATTTTTATGATCGAATGGCTCTCTCGATCGTTGGTGACCTTGCCTCCTACAATCATCGTGGTTCAAGATGCATGTGTCCAGTCGAGCTAACTCTTAATCTCACATTGAAAAATCTTGATCTCGCAAGTGACTAAGTGAATTGTGCCATAAGGAGGTTTTGTATTCCTTTGTGTGGATGAGGCTAATGCTTTTATCTCTCATTGTCGTGCAACATTTTGCAACACACTCAAGGTGACGAGATCATAGTGGTAGATCAACGCGGCTAATGCTTTTATCCCTCATTGTAGTGAATAATCTATTAGCAATATTGTCTAATCCTGATGGCATGTGATCTTTACAATACAAATAATCTAGAAATAGCAACATGATTTTGGATATACAGAAGAAAAAAAATTATACGACGGAATAAAAAAAATATGAGGATATGAGGTACTTAGATTTATGTTGAGATTAAGATTCTATATGCTATTCTAAGTGATGTAGTGGGATCCACAGAATAATCAGATATGCTAGAAAGAAATCCCAATACGGAGAACAAACTAAGCTTAAAGCTTCAAAAGGGATATAATATTCATCATGACATTCTCTTCCTTACAACTAGTATATATAAGTGCAATAGAATATTCTAGAAAACTTAAAAGCAAATAGGTAATAAAAGGTATGCTAGTTCTAAGGGATATATTTAGCTAATGATGTTCCACATAAAAGGTATGCATTGCGACGTTCCGTCAATCGAAATTCCTGCACAAGAATTGGAATTCTAGCCTCAGTTCCATCTTTGGTTCTCGTCCCACCTCCTGCCAACTATATATTAGTTAATAAATAAATATATTATTATATAATTAATTAATGACGAGCCCGCTCACGAGCTAACAAGTCGAACCGCATCAAGCTCCAGTTTGAGCTCGAGCTCAGTTTGTGGTTTGATATGCTTAGCTCATGAGCTTTTTAACGAGTCTCGCTCGGCTCAATTACACCCCTAGCGCCACAAAATCATGGGCCCACCAATTAACTCAATGCAATGTGAATTTATAACTATGCCCAATTAAATAATATGAAAATATTATTATTTTCAAAATATATTTTCTAAAATCATGTATAAATAACAATATTTCGAATTGTCACCAAGTCTTTTTACCCGAAAGAAGCGTCACATCCCATTTTGACCCCTCTTTAATAAATCTTAGATGTTACATAGATGAATAATCCAATCAGACATACCTCATTATGAATGTTTAGGGAAAATATATCTGATTATATTATTCGTCTTTATTACATCTTAATAAGGGGTCAAATGGGCCATTAGAAGAAGTTTTACCAAGCTTCTTTTTAATAAAAAATGCTGTAACATGGAATAATCTGCTGAATATATTATTTTTTTAGAATAAAGTAATTTTATAATAATTATGATACACTATTATTAGTCTATTATGTACTTAAACAACATATATATTTAGATGCAATTGAGCAGAAAAAAAAAACAATAAAAATATGTAAACGTTTATGTTTTATAATCTTTAACCAATTATTGTGCTCTTAAAAATGATTACACAAATTAAATAATTTTGGACATATTTTAAATAAGATATGATAAATAAAGTAATCATAAAAAAAAAATTAATTAATTTTTTTTTAAAAAGAATGGTTACCAGGCGATTGGCCCATGACATAGCATGCAAGTCGTCCAATCAAAATCAAATGTCAGTCGCCTCTTAATGAATGCCTGGCTTTAAAAATAATTAAATAAAATTTAATTTTTATATTTGTCATTTGTTGTCTATGATTTTAATTTTGGCATTGAAATTTTGAGGAAATTTATTTTTAAGAATATCTTTAACATATTATGTATTAAAAATAACTAAATATTTTCAATAATTATAGGTTAAAAATATAAGAAATATTCTATTATTTTTAATACATAATATTCATATGAATTTCTATTGACTGTTTTTGTGCCATCTCTTTTTTTTTTTTTTTTGTTTTTTTTTTTTTTTTTTTTTTTTTTTTTTTTTTTT